CCTGGTGGCCAGGTGGTCGGGAGGTGGGGGCTGCTGCAGGAAGCAGGGGTCTGCCGCCTAGTCGGGCCCCTGTGGTCAAAGCCGTCGGCGCCCCTCCGAGCAGGCGGGAGCCTCTGAGAAGTGTGAAACCCCAAAGCCTTTACATGGCTCCAGCGCGGGGCTGCTAGGAAGGCAGGCGGTGATGAATAGCTCGCTGCAGCTGCCGGGACGTTTTGCAAAGCGTATTCAGAATAGCAAGAACCAGAGCGTGCTTTCTTGCCTCTGACTCTGAGGCATTGCCTGGTTGGGGGCGGGGGGAGTGGGTGCCCGGCTGAGGGCGTTGGGGCAGACCCTCCTCTGGGAGTGGAACCAACACACGTCCTTCCCTGGCCTCTGAGCAGGACTGTGGACAGGTGAGGGGGACGTGGGCGCCCCAGGGAGAGGGGAGGCGGGCTGAGAAGTGTGGCCACTGTCCCAGTGTTAACAAGGGCCCGGCAGAGACATCCCACCGTGTGTTGATGGTTAAGAGTTCTGGCTCTTTCCTAAGTTTGCTGATGTGAGCATGTTACTTTTTAAAATTAAAGGTCATTGACTTGGGGTTTAAAAAAACAAACAAAAAAGAGTTTCAGCTCCACTGTGAAGCATGGCTCTGAAACCGCGCCTGGCCTCAGTTTCCTCACCTGAGACGTGGGCACTGTAACAGCACCCCCGGTGGCCCCGGGTTGTGCAGCTTGAGTGAGACGGTGTGGGCGAGGCTCAGGCATGTGGCTGGGGTCTGGTGCGACGGTGTATACATAGGAGAGCCTTGGATGTCGCAGAGCAGGAAAGACAGCCGGTGTTTCTGGAGGTCTCCCTTCCAGAACGTTCACTGTTGCCAAGATTAACGGGGTGCAGGTAGCGGGAAGGGCGGGAAGCACCTGCTCTGGTGGAGCTCCCTCTGTCGATGCCCTGCGGCTGCATCTCTGCCCACACCCAGCTTCTGCCTCTGCAAGAGGGGTGGTCTTGTGCAGAGATGACCCGGCAGGACTGAAGAGTCCCACGAGGGTTTCCCTTAGCGACCCAGGAAGGGAATGTGGCTGCCCGGGGCTCTTGAGAGGAAACGCTGTCTGAGCAGACAATGGCTGGACCTCAGAGAGAGTGGGACCCAAGTGGTGGATAGTATCTCACACACCCTGAGGCCCGACCTGGAGCCTCCTGTCCCCTGGACCCCCCAGCCCGCACTGGTCCGCAGCTGAGGGGCCGTTTCTTCCAGGCTCTTCTACGTGGCTGGCGGGCCAGCGGCTCTGCCGTGGGGTGTGTTGTGGGGGTGTCTCTGGCCCATGCCAGGCCCGGTTTTCACATGTGGATGCTCCAGGCACAGGCGTGCCCACGTGGTTCTTGTGAGTTGTGATCAGCTGTCCCGGGGAGAGAATTCACAGTGAACCAGTGGTTCTCAAAGTGCATTCCGGGGACCCTGCAGGGGACCCTCAGGTCAAAATCGTCCTCATGACAGCGCAGAGATGTCAGGTGTGCGCTGCTGATGGAGGCAGGACGCTGTGTTCCTGTATTTGACACGGTTCTTGGTTTTAAGTTCAGATGCAGAAGGCGGTTGATGTGACCGCATGAGCCAGCCTCCTCGGGATCCCCCGCGGGGTGTGGCGGTGTAGCCGGTTCCTGGGGAAACTCCGCGTGTGCCTCGGGTCGCTGTGGGCCACACGACCTGGCCCCCTCTGCACTCCTGGGAGGAGCCTGGGCTTCACAGTGTGGGCCCAGGTCATTCCCAGCCCTCCGCCTTCTGGTGAAAAGCAGGCGGTTTCCACTCCCGAGGCTTTGCGGGGTTCCCCAGCACCGAAGCCCCCGAGCGGGGTCTGCAGATGGTGATGGGCAGTGGGTGCTGCAGGAAAGACCCTTCAGGGGAGGTGGTCCTGCCAGGGAGGCCTGGAGTGACAGGGACAATATTTATTGCCTTTCATTGTCTGCCTTACATCTCTGTCGGAGTCTGGAGCGCCGTGTCTTATGAACTGTGCAACCCCGGGCACTTAAGTGGCCTCCCCTCTCTGAGCCTCCGTCTCCTTGCCCAGAAGCCGTGTGACTACTAATAGCTCCGTTTCAGGAAGCAGTGGGTTCAGAGGAGGTGTTGTGTCCAGAAGTGACCTTGGGGTTTGCAGGACAGTGGAGCTGCGAGGAGGGGTGTCCTCTGTTGGGGGCCTTCGTCCCCTTTTCACTTCTGTGGGGAGGCTGAGACGCAGACCCTCCGGGCATCCGGAAGGCTCCCGCGGCCCTATGGGAGGATTTATAGTCACTCTCATTTACAGAAAGCGTAGTTCTGAACGGCCCGTGACACCAGGGAATGGTGTAGCCAGAACGGTCAGCGGTGAAGCCTCCCGCCCGCTGCAGCTCTCTGCGTGTGGGTACTGGTGAGCGGAGGGTCTGGGGAGAGCCCGGAGCAGCTGTGCGGGGCCTGCGACCCACATCCAGAAGCCAAAACAGGTCAGTGAGGTCCACGCGGTGTCGGAGGCTCTGGGCCGACCCTGGACGCGAGCCAGCACCGCCTCCTCTCTGCCCGGTCCAGCCTCGCTCTGGGCAAGGGAGGCAAGTGGGACCAGGCCTGTGTGCCTGTGAGGAAGTGAGGCCCAGCGGCGCCGAGGGTCGGAGGGTCAAGTTCAGGCCAGGGCCCTGCTGGCCTTCAGGGCGCTCCCACCTCAGGGTTTCTCGAGCGGCCTGTGTACCTGGCCCGGAGTCCTGGACAGCCAGGGGCCCGCGGCCCGCCGACCACGCCTAAAGCTTCCTGGAGTGTCATTCTCCACCCTCAGGACACAGGGGCGGAGGGCTTCCTGGAGCCCGGCTCGCAGCCCCCGGGAGTCGGGGCTGGGGGGGCCAGAGCTCTGGGAGCAGCCTTGAGGCTGCACCACGTGACCCACCCCACACGGAGCGGGGTCAGGGCAGGGGTCCGGAGGAGGGGCGCTCTGCAGCTTCGGGTAACGGGCACTGCGGTCCTCGAAGATGGGTGCATCCCAGTCTCACCTCTGATTCTTGTGAGCAGTGTGGCTTTGCTTGCTTGTTCAAGCTCAATCACTCGGTGTCCGACTCTTTGCAGCCCACTGGACTGTAGCCCGCCAGGCACCTCTGTCCATGTGGTTCTCCAGGCAAGAACACTGGAGGGGGCTGCCGTTTCTTCCTCCACAGTATCTTTCCGACCCAGGGATGGAACCCGGGTCTCTTGCATTGGCAGATGGGTTCTTTACCAGGGCGCCACTTCTGAAGCCCGTGGCTTTGGTGGCTAGTTTTAACCTTATTCTGCTTCAGTTTCACCTTCTTGAAAATGAGGGTAACTGTCCCCACTCCCCTGTCTGGAACAGAGCGGGGGATTTAGTGCTGTTGGTGATAGTTTTTATTTGCTGCTGACTAAACAGTCGGACACGACTGAGCGACTTCACTTCACTTCACTTAGAAACTTGGTAGGCGATGGGGTTGCAAACTGGCGTGACCTTTCTGGAAAACAGTTTGGTGATACAAATTGAGAGTCCTTAAACATTCACACATAAGCATCTGCGGGAACCGCTCCTGAGGAACTGGAAACAGACTCATGCACAAATTGCAGTTTTTAGCCAGCCATTAAAATGACATTTTAAAAAAATAGGCTGTTTAAGGATTTGGGAAAGCACTCATCATATACTAAGTCAAGAGGATTTAAGATTGCACACACAATTGGATGTTACATTTGTAAAATATATGTGCAAAGAGAAATACGTAACGCTGTCTACTGGCAGGGATCTCAGTAAGCCTTCAGTCCTGGCTCCCTTCCCCTCATCTAAGCCAGCAACTAACTCTGAAAAAAATACACCCCTATGTGTAGTATGTGTGTATATATGCACGTATGTGTATAACATCCCTGGAAAAAGTCATACATATATAATTTTCCAGACAAAGATTTATAAATTATATATACACCTAGTTTTCCTCTCTATATGAATACATGTCTATATATTTATTTGTACATATATGCACACACACGTATATGCATATATGAGTGGATACATGTGAGTTTATTTTCTGGATCAGCACTTTAACCTGGGGTTGACAAGGTGGGGGGGCGTCCCAGGTGGCTCCGTGATAAGGAATCCACCTGCCGGTGCAGGAGATGGAGGAGACAACCCCTGCGCGGGGGGGAAGATCCCCCAGAGGAGGAGACGGCAACCCCCTCCAGGATTCCTGCCTGGAGCACCCAGGGACAGAGGAGCCGGCGGGCCGCAGTCCATGGGGTCGCCCAGTGTGGGACACGACTGAGCGCTCATGTACAGTAAAGTGATGGCGGGCTCCTTTCTTCTTTCTTCCCACAAAAGCAAGGCTGCTGCTGCTTCTCCAGCGCAGGCTGGGAGGCCTCGCCACTGTGCTCCGTAGAGAAGGGTTTGCGGGTTTGCCTAGCTGCCTGACTTTCTAAATCAGGGATCCGCCGTTCTGGCCTCGGTCCCGATCTGTTCTCTGCGCGTCTCCTCCGGCTCGTTCTGTCACCTCCCCCTCCATCTCTGTCGGCGAGGCTCCCCCCCCCCCCCCCCCCCCNCGCCCCACCCCTGCGTCTCTGGGGAGACTCAGTCAAGCCTGGATGGCCGGGCCCTTCCTGGCTGCTCTGCAGGGTGTGCGGTGGAGGGGGCGGTGTTCCAATCCACACGAAGGTGCTGGCCCGCGCCTCCGGTCTGTGGGGGAACCCTCTCAGTGCGGTGACCGGTCACCAGCCTCCCCGCCGCCCGTCCCCCCGGCCTCCCCAGCTGCTCAGGGCCTCCCTCCCCCTGCGGGGGGCTCCCCTGCTGGCGCGGTGCTGGGGAACTTCCGGGGGCTCAGTGGAGCCCGTTCCTGTCCCTGCAGGTGCCGACAGGCCGGGAGGCCCAGCGCCAGGTGGAGCCGGGCCTCTCGGGTCCTCGACTCCCGGTCCGTGTGCGGAGAGCCCGCGCAGCCGCCACGCTTGGCCCCCAGGAAGGCTGCGGACGATCCGGTGGCCGGGCCCTGGGTGGCGCATGGGCCGCCCTGGCGAGGCCAGACCCGTCATGCTGCAGTGCCGGCTGGCCGAGGAGTTCAGCTTTGGGCCCCGGGCCTTGAAGGACGCGCTGCTGTCCACTGACCCCGCCCTGCGGCAGCTCTACACAGCCACCTTCTCCCCGGCCGAGAGGCTCTTCCTGGCCGAGGCCTACAACCCCCAGAGGACGCTCTTTGGCACGCTGCTCATCCGAACGGCCTTCGACTGGCTCCTCAGCCGCCCTGAGGCCCCCGAGGACTTCCAGACCTTCCATGCCGCCCTGCCGCCCCGGAAGCAGAGCCTCGCTCGGAAGCACATTTACCTGCAGCCCATAGGTACCTGCGCCCGTGGGAACCTGCACCCATGGGAACCTGCAGCCCTTGGAAACCTGTGCCCGTGGGAACCTACGCCCCCTGGGTACCTATGTCCGTCGGAACCTGTGCCCGTGGGAACCTGCAGCCCCTGGGTACCTATGTCCGTCAGAACCTGCGCCCGTGGGAACCTGCAGCCCCTGGGTACCTGCGCCCGTGGGAACCTGTGCCCGTGGGTACCTGCACCCATGGGAACCTGCGGCCCATGGAAACCTGCGCCCGTGGGAACCTACGCCCCCTGGGAACCTGCGGCCTGTGGGAACCTGCAGCCCCTGGGTACCTATGTCCGTCGGAACCTGTGCCCGTGGGAACCTGCAGCCCCTGGGTACCTATGTCCGTCAGAACCTGCGCCCGTGGGAACCTGCAGCCCCTGGGTACCTGCGCCCGTGGGAACCTGTGCCCGTGGGAACCTGCACCCATGGGAACCTGCAGCCCCTGGGTACCTGTGCCCATGGGAATCTGCGGCCTGTGTGTACCCACGGCCGCTTTCTCGCAGGTCTCCTGGCTCCCACCCTGCGTCACTGTCCCAGGTGGGGGCTCCGAGGAGGGGATGAAGGGCTGGGCGGGGCTAACAGTGCTGCTCTGCCCCCAGATCTAAGCGAGGGGCCGGCAGGCAGCGCGCTTCTGGACCAGCTGAGGAGCTGCACGGAGGCCTTCTTCCTGGGCCTGCAGGTCAGATGCCTGCCCTCGGTGGCAGCCGCCTCCATCCACTGCTCATCCCGCCCCGGTCAGGACCCCGACAGGCTCCAGCTCCACACTGGTGAGTGCGTGTGGCGTGCACGGGCAGGCCCCAGCCGCCCAGCTTGTTCGGCCGTTTTCCAGTGGCACGTGGGGTCGCTTACAGCTGGCGTCCAGGGCGGGTGCCACCCCGAGGGGCATGTTCCTTTCTGTGTTCCGGCTGCAGCTTCAGCCCCTTCCTGGGGCACAGCCTCCCCCCGCCCCCGAGGGTCTGAGTGGGGCCTGTGGAGCACTGACCGACCTTGGCCCAGCCTCTCCCTGCCTCGTACGACGTCATCATGCCTGCGGCTGCTTCTGCCCCACTCGGGGAGAACCCAGTATCCACCCACTTGCCCCAGGGGCCTTGGAGACCCCAGCATCGAGATGCAGGGGGCCCAGGGGGCCGCCCTCTGCTTGGTGAACAGACCGCCCCCAGCCCCACCCTGCACGGACTGCAGGGAACGAAGGGGACCTGAGAAGGCTCGGGACAGGTGGGGTGCAGAGCTTGTGAGGGGTTGAACTCCTGTGGTCAGATTCCGTGGTTTCAAGGCTGCATTCGTTTCCTGGGGACGCAGTGATGAAGCACAGCACAGGGGGGCTTACAACAGCAGCCCTGCATCATCTCAGGGCCTGGAGGCCAGAATCCTGGCCCGGGTTGGCGGGTCCTGCCCCCTCTGACAGCTCCAGGACCACCCCTGCCTGCTCACCCCGCCGTGGTGGTGGCTGCAGTCCTGGGGTCCCTCGCCTGAAGCTGCCTCATGGCCTCTGTGTGTCTGTCTCTCCTCGTCTAATAAGGACCCGGGGCAAACTGCATCAGGCCCACCCCGCCGACTTCTTCTTAACTTGATCACGTCCGCAAACCCAGGGCCCAAATAAAGTAACGTTTCAGGTACCGGGTGTCAGGACTTCCGCGTCATGTTCTGGGGGTCACAGCTCAACCTCTAAGAGGCATCACCGTCAGCACCACCCTGAGACCTGACATCCCTGTCTCTCCTCCAAGACCTCAGCCACTCATCCCAGGTCACACCTGGACCTGGGTAGTCCGGACAGCGGCTGCCGGCCACGTGTAGCTGCTGAGCAGACAGATGCACACCTGCGTTGATGACTCAGTGTGAAAAACAACGTAAACGGTCTAACGTTTTAGTCTTTGATAAATTAAATTTTTGGATATGTTAGGTTAAAATCCCTATGCTAGAATCCATTTGATTTTTTATTTTTTAAAGATTTATTTCATTTTTTTGGCATTGCTGGGTCTTCACTGCCGTGTGCAGGCTTTCTCTAGTCCTAGCAAGTGGGGGCTGCTCGCTCCGTGTGGAGTACGGGCTCTGGGTGCGTGGGAGTCAGTATTTGCAGCACACGGGCTCCCTTGCACTGAAGCATCCTGGGTCTTGCTGGATCAGGGATCGAATTGGCGTCCCTTGTATTGCAAGGTGGATTCTTAACCACCAGACCACCAGGGAAGCCCTGATTGCCTTTAAAATTAGTAAAACGTTGTCTTAGCTACATGTTCAGCTCACACTGTTTCTAGGGACAGTCCCGGGCTAGGCCTCACAGGACCGACAGCAGGGTCGTCTCTGTAGCTGGGGCTGCAAGCAGCGCCCTCGCAGCGCCTCCGCCGGCGTTCCCCGCTCCGAGTGCCCCGTTGCCTGGCTAACGGTCCCAGGTTGTCAGGCCCAGCCTGCTGCTCCATGCCCCCTCTGGCTGTCGAGATCTGCCTCCCATGCTCAGTCCACCCCCCGCCCAGCCCCCCGGCCTGTCCACACGAGCGTGACTCCCGCTCCCATCTCCTGGCAGCTGAACGGACTGAAGGAAAGAGCCTGCTTGCGTGGTCCCCTTGTAACACGGGACTGTGAGCCCGGGGCCCTCACCTCCCCGCCTTCCTCTTCTTTCTGACCTTGCTTTTCGGGTGGAGGAAATGCAGGCAGAAGGAAACTTTCACGCCCCTTCGGCACAGCTGCTCACCCGCAGGCCTCAAGCCCCCTGTCCACGGGTGGACACCCAGCTCCACATCACGGCCCCGCCAGAGCCCTCCGCCCGCTCCCAGACAGGAGCTGCTGCTACTTATCCTGTTGACACACCGCAGACCCCCTTCTCTGCCCCTTTTTATAGCCACACCTCTTGGAAAGGGTCTTTCTCTCCCTCTCCCTCCGATCACTCCGAGACCCTCTCCTAGTTGTAGACTCGCTGCGGCTCTGCCCGATGTCTCTGGGCTCCTCCACGTTCCCGCCGGTCCCGGCTCCATCCCTGGCGTCTCATCTGTCTACACCCGCTGTGGGCAGTTACTCAGCAGTAATTTAACAGCTTAAATGACACGCATTCTCTTAACAGCTCCAAGGATCAGAGTCTCCCTAAATTAAAATCAAGGTCAGCTTCATCACCCTGCAGCCCCTCCAGGTCTCTCTCTGACCTTCCTGCTGCTCCCGTGAGGGCCCTGGTGCTTACGTCGGGTCCAGCTGGATAATCTAGGATCACCTTCCCACTGGGAGACCTTTCATTTAATCACATCTGCCAAGTTCCTTCTGCCACATGAGGACCACGCGCAGCGGTCCCGGGGGGAGAGGTGGCGTCTCTGGGGCCATCCGTCAGCTGCGCAGGGCTGCCGTGGCTCTTCCCGTGAAGCACTCTTGAGAACAGAGACCCTGAGCGCTCTTGTCCCCAAGGAGGCCAGGCCCCTGGCCCCTTTCACGTCATGGAGCTTGGCTGCTCTGAGCTCTGACAGTTCCTCACGGGATTGCATTGGCGTGTCTGACTTTGGGATGAGCTGGTTCCGGGCAGGGGAAGAAGGGAATGAACCGGGGGCAGGGGGCGCCCAGTGGCCGCCTCACTGTGTCCTTTGGCCCTGTCCCCACAGACGGCATCCTGTCCTTCCTGAAGAGCAGCAAGCCAGGGGACGCGCTGTGTGTGCTGGGCCTCACGCTGTCCGACCTGTACCCCCGCGAGGCCTGGACCTTCACCTTCGGCACGTTCCTTCCGGAGCACGGTGAGCCAGCACCCGGGGACCCCGCCCCCGCCCTGGGGCTTGGGCACAGGCCTGGAGCGCCCAGGGACACCGGCCCCTAGCTGTGGCTCCCAGGGCCCCTCCCGGGGCGGGGGTGTCGGCCCCAGGCCGCCTTCATGGGGACACCTGGTGGGGCGGGGCCTTCAGGACCTGTGCGCCCTGGGGGCGGGGCTTTGCCCATGGGCTCTCTGAGCTGAGGCCACGCCTGGCGCCCCTGCCTCTCTGCCTTCCCCCAGAAGTGGGCGTCTGCAGCTTTGCCCGGTTCTCGGGGGAGTTCCTGCCGCGGGGGCCCAGCACACCTGACCTGGCGGAGGTGGAGGTGGCCGCAGGTGGCCCCGAGGTGCCCCTGCAGGATGGGGGCCAGGCCGTGTGCTTCAGTGCCCTGGGGATGGTCCAGTGCTGCAAGGTGGGTGTGGAGGCCGGGGTTCCGGGTGCCGCTCAGGTGGTGGGAGAAGACGGGGGAAGGGCGGGGAAGGGCTGGGGGCTGGGGCTTGGGCAGGCTCCCGGGAGAGGCTGGGAGGTGGAGTCGGACAGCAGGACGTGCGTGGATGGTCCGTTACGCTGTGCAGTCCGCACAATGTGGTGAGCACCCATCACTTTAGGGAGCATGGACACTGAGACCCAGATACGCCAAGTCCTCCGTCCACGGTCACACAGCTCTCAAGAGGCGGGGCTGGGACTTGAACCCTTGTCTCTCTGAAATCCAAACCTCCATGCTGCCAGGCCCCCAGAGCTGGGCCTTTCTGCCTGGAGCCCGGCGTGTCCCCCTCTCCAGGGCCCCGGGGTTCTGGTGGGCGGCGGGCTCCAGGCTGCAAGGCGGTGGCCCCGTCTCCCTCAGGTCACGTGCCATGAGCTGTGTCACCTCCTGGGCCTGGGGAACTGCCGCTGGCTCCGCTGCCTCATGCAGGGCGCGCTGCGCGTGGACGAGGCCCTGCGCCGGCCCCTGGACCTCTGCCCCATCTGCCTGCGCAAGCTGCAGCACCTGCTAGGCTTCAGGCTGGTGGACAGGTACAAGGTGAGTGGGCGGGGCCCGGGCGGGCACGAGGTGAGTGGGCGGGGCGTGGGGCGGGTACGCGGTGAGGGGGCTGGGGGCGGGGCGTGGGGCGGGTACGCGGTGAGGGGGCAGGGCGCAGTGTGGACGCCCGCGCTGTCACTCCGGGGACTCTCGGGATCGGGCTGAGTCTTCGGCCGGGCGCCTGGCCGGGTGCTGGTTGGCTGTCCCGCGGCGGAGGGGGCTCGGGGGCTCCCGGCTCCTCTGTTTCGCAGCAACCCTAATTAGAGCCAGTCTCTACCCGGCACTGACCGCGAGCTAGACCTGTCCTAGCGCGGCTGTCCGCGGGCGGCGCCGGCCTCACCGAGGGGCCGCGCAGCATCGTTTTCTCCCTGCTTGGGCCTCGGCCCCTTGGGAGGAGGAGACGGGAGCGGAGAAAGACAGAGCAGCCTTGGAGGGGCGGGCAGCGGGTAATCCCGCCCGCCCGGGCAGGGGCCGAGCCGGCAGGCGGTGCTGCCCTCTGCCGCCCGCGCGAGGAGCCGCGGGGAGCAGGGCCGGGAGGGGCCCAGGGAGCCAGGTCCATCGGCCCCGCTGCAGACCCGGGGACGGGGCTCAGAGTTCACAGGTCACAGGCAGGTGGTGGTTCCTTTTCTTTTTCTCCTCTTTTATTGAAGTATAGTTTATGTACAAGGTTAATTTCTGAGTCACAGAGTGATTCAGTTATATACATATGTACACTTTTTCATATTCTTTTCCATTATGCTTTATCCCAGCACACTGACCAGCAGGACCTTGCTTATCCATCCTGTATGTAGTTGCATCTGCTGATCCCAAACCCCCATTCCTTCCCTCCCCCACCCTCTACCCCTTGGCAATGGAAAATCTGTTCTCTGTGAGTCCGTTTCATAGATAGGCTCACTAGTGCCATATTTTAGAGTCCACATACAAGTGATATCATATGGTATCTGTCCTTTCTCTTTCTGACTTCACTTAGTATGATAATCTAATTGCATCCATGTTGCTACAAATGGCATTCTCTTTTTAATGGCCGAGTAATATTCCACTCTATGAGTAATATTCCATTGTATATATGTGCCACATCCGTATCTTCATGAAAACCATGAATAATATGTCAGGCTTGCAAAGCTCCTCCAAGTTTGCTGTCTTTAGAGCTTCTAGTCTGAAATCTGCTTGGGGTCACGGGCATGGTGGGGTCTCCTCGAGTGGGTGGCTGGGTCTCCTGGCAGCTCCCTGGTGAGGGACGTGGCCGATCAGGCCGGCTCAGCCTGTGTCTCTCCCTCGTAGAGACTCTACGCCTGGACACAAGCGGCGGCGGGGACACAGCCGGGCCCAGCAGCGGCGGGGGAGCCGTCCGTGTCGGAGGACACCCTGCCCTGCAGCGCAGACTCGGGGCTGTGCTGTGAGAGCGACTCGGAGCCAGGCAGCAGCCTGTCGGAGCCCCTGTCGCCCGACGCCTGGAGCCAGGCCTTCCCTGCAGGCCTTGAGCTGGAGCCCGAGGACGGGCTGGGCTCCCTGGCAGCCACGGAGGGTCCAGGGGAGGCCCTGGCAGAGCACGGGCGCTGGCTGGCGGCCTGCATCCAGGCCCTGGAGAGGGATGTGAGCGAGGGGGAGCTGGAGCAGGTGGACGGCGCTGTGGACGCGCTGGCCCCCTGGGACCTGTTCACAGGGCAGCTCCCGGCCCCCCGGCAGGACCTGCCCTGTGGCCGCGATGGCGTGGGGCTGCGCAGGGTCCTGGGGGACACGTTCTCCTCCCTCCGGAGGAAGCTGAGTGCTCGCAGGCCGTCTAGGGCCGAGTCGTCTCCCCGGCGCCAGAAGGCGGAGGACGACTAGCGTGGCCAGTGTGACCCATCCAGCTCCGGCCTGTCCCCAGACACCAGCTGCCTGGCCTCTGGGGCGCCTCGGGCCCAGCAGGGGCAGGAGGGACAGTGTCTCGGGAAGCAGAGGGTGATGCAGCTGCACCCCCAGTCCTGACCGCGGCCTCGCGATGTGGCCGGCAGGGCGGGCGTCCCAGGCACCCGATGCAGGGAGCGGGACAGGTGCCCACTTCTCCTGCAGCCTGGGGTCTCCGCTGCTGCAAACTCAGCTTCCAGCGCCCGCACGCGGGGCCTCCACTCAGAGGGCAAGCCACGGCCGTTGCGTCTCTTTCTGCCACGAGCCCCATGGAAGGGTCCTCTGCTGCCGTCCAGCCGCATCCTGACCCTTGGGACTTGCCGCGGGCATCTCCCTGAAGCTTGGGGTGGTCACCACCTCTACGGGACCCTGTGCCCACAGTCCTGCCGTTTCCCCTGACGACTCTTGGGTGGGGGAGGTCACAGGTGCGGTGGGACGGTGTGGCCCCGCTGGGGCCTGCAGAGGTGAGAGCAGACCGCAGCTCCCTCCTCGGGACAGCTGGACACAGGAGGGCTGGACCCCATATCCACGAGGGCAGGGGGGGTTAGGGTTTTGTTCAGAACATCCGTGTCTGTTTTTTGGTCTAGTTCTGCCAGCTGCTGAGAGAACAAGCGATTTAGATGTTAAAACATCCACCACCCCAGTAGGAGCATCTGTCTGCCTTTAACTCTGTCAGATTTTGCTCCGGCTCTTCCAGGCTTCTTCATGTACACACATCTTTGATATGTTTTCGTGACAGACTGGCCCTGTTTTCCTTCTCACACGCCCTGGGCTGTGGCTCATGAGTCCTGCAGAGATGCTTCTGGTCCTGACAGCAGGGCTCTTGTGGTGTGATGGGTAGAGGGGAGCGTTGAGGGGCCCGGAGGGCCAGGGCAGCTATCTTCCCGTCTGGGGAGAGACGAGAACGGGGCAGCTCCTACGTTTTTCACAGAGCTTAGTTAGGGGAAGCCTTCTAAGAACAATGGTACAAAATACAAATACAGAATCAGGAGGGTGTCCCGCAAGCACAGAATCCCGAAGCCTCTTTGTAACCTGACCAGGCAAGTCCCAGACCAGGGAGACATAAGAGGGGTGAGACCATCCTGCAGACAGAGCAGCAAGGCCGCAGCTCTTCAGGCCCCCATTCTGTTTTGCACAAGGACCTGGAGGCTCCTGATGGGGAGACGGGACGAGCCGGGCTCGCTGGAAGTGAGCTGGGGCGGACCCCGCAGACAGCACGGCACAAGAACAGTAAGCAGACCACTCACACCCAAGGGCTTAAAGCCCCAACAGCTGTCCGGTCAGGTGGCTTGGTGTGGGCAGAGAGCTGGGAAGGTGTGCCCCGGTCCTGGGCTGGAGAGTCCAGCTTGAGGACGGCCCACTTGGCGGGGCGGTGCGGGGAGCTGCCTCGTGGCAGCTGAGGGCCAGGGCCGGGGTCCCTGTAGCCTGGTGGCTGGCTGTCAAAGGCGGGACTTCCTGGAGCCCCGTGGGACAGGTGTGTCCTCTCAGGACAGCCGGGTCCAATAGGGCTCACGCCTCTTCACGGGGGAGTGGCGAGGTTCTAAAGGAGCATGGGCGGTGGGAAAACACTTGTGGAAACCTGTTGCTGTAAGCACACACGGCCCGGATCAGCTGTCACACCCACCACGCAATCTCACCTGCTTTCCTTCTGCAGGGGGTTGACAGCTGGAGAGACTTCCCTAGTCTTCCAGTGGTTAAGAATCGGCCTTGCAATGCAATGCCTTCCCTGGTGGCTCAGAGGGTAAAGTGTCTGCCTACAATGCGGGAGACCGGGGTTCGATCCCTGGGTCGGGAAGATCCCCTGGAGAAGGAAATGGCAACCCACTCCAGTACTCTTGCCTGGAGAATCCTGGGGATGGAGGAGCCTAGTAGGCCACAGTCCATGGGGTCGCAAAGAGTCAGAAATGACTGAGCTACTTCACTTTCAGTCTCTGCAATGCAGGGGACGAGGGTTTGCTCCCTGGTTGGGGAACTAAGATCCCACCTGCCACAGGGCAACTAAGCCCGAGTGCTCTAGAACCCACAACCAGAGTCTGAGTGCTGTGATGAAAACTCCCCCATGACGCAGCAAAGGTCCCGTGTGCCGCAGCAAAGCCCCGATGAAGCTACACACACACATAAACAACAGCTGGAGTGACGTAAGGACACACGCGACTGATGAAGAGAGAAGAGCCTGGCTCAGACTGGGGCCGGGGGCTCAGGGGGATCGTTACCAAGTTCTCAGCACCGTCTACCTGCACCCATGGCCTCTGGCTCCCAGCCGTGATCAGTGGCCCCAGAAAGCATCCTGAGACGGGGAGGGACAAACCACTTCCTTCTCGGCCTGCACCAGCTGCAGACAGAGTACACTTTGAAGATAGCAGCTGGGAGGGACATTTTGAAAATAAAAAACTTCTAGGAGCAGAGATTACAGCTTCCTTCCTCTGCTCCAGTATCAGCCCAGGTCCTGCCCCTGTGGGGAGTGGGAAGCAGCTGGGGACGGCCCCCAGGGAGTGGCTTTGGCGGGGGAGGGGCGTAACCAGCCCCATCTCTTGAATCAGAGTCTTGGATCACCAAGTCCAGGCTTCAGACGCTGGACGGCTGGGCACCTTAATGGGCTGAGTTGAAACAGCCACAGATAATGGTTTCCGAGAAACGAGGGCCCTGGCTTTTATTTCTGCTGATGCATGAAGTCAGTGTCATCTCCTTATCTGTCAAAGGCCCTGTGAGTCAGAGGAGAGGGTCTGAGCTTTCCCACGGACCCTCTCTGAGTGTCCCCCCCATGAGCCCGGGTGGAGGGGCTCGACGGAGCTGAAGATACGTCAGGGTCATGACGTTACGTGCCTGTCACTGCTCCTGTGGGACACGGGGTGGGGTGTCCACACTTGCTTTCAGAAGGAGCCTCAGCTCATGCGGGCACACTGTCCTGGTGGAGGGGGACGAGAGGGGTGGCAGGCCCCTTGTCCTTTTGGAAGCTCAGGCTCGTCATCAGGTGAGGGACCCAAGAGTCGTCTTGACCTCCCTCCTTCCCCTGCCATGAGCCCCTCCGCGGTCCCCGCGATTCCAGAGCGTGTTAATACCGTCCCGCAGGACGTCTGATTCAGACCTTTCTGGGAGGGAGGCAATCTCCGAAAGGGCTTAAGAAAATAAACACACAATAGCTTAGCCAAGCAGCTAATATTAAAGCAAAGACTCCAAATTTAGATCCCACCAAGTTCAAAGGAGCGGCTGTAGCATTCCAGGGGTGTGCGCGCGCGCGCGCGCGCGCACACACACACACACACACACACACACTACTGGCAGGGCCAGAAAGAGCTGATCTCCAACGCACAGACACACACACCACCAGCGGGGCCACGAATTGCTCTGTAGGCCTGGGCAGGGCCGGGTAGACCCACATCCTTCTGGGGAAAGCCAGGCAACTCGTCCCTGCAGATAACCCCCTCTTTGAGCCGGGCCTTGTGGGCACCAGGGGATTCCTTCGTCCTGCGAGGCAGATACTCAGATTGCACCTGAAGGTTAAGGGAGTGGAGAGGTGTGTGTGTGGTCACTGCCTGAGGCCGCAAAGCTGGGGCTGAAATTCTGACCAGGTCTGCTCTGACCTGACCCTCCGTGTCCCAGGGCATTCTCAGGAAAGTCTGCGCGGGAAGAGTCGGGATGGAAGCAGAGGGCAGGGGAGCTGCGCGCGGACTCCTACCCACGCAGTGGCAGCCCTTGCCCCGCCGCCCCGAGTTCTAAGACGACCCGGAAGCCATCCGACAGCCGCAGCCCTTTGGGGCGGGGAGCGGCCTGGGTGGGTGGCCGGCTCTTTTGGGCAAAGATGCCAACTTAAACAAAGCCCAGAGTCCCGGGGCCTCGGTGACTTGTTTGTACAGAGAGGGTGAGGCCCTGCGGGAGTATTTTTATCCTGGTGAAGGCCGGGAGGACCGGGGCTCCTCTGGGCCGCTCCCGACCTGAGCTGGAGCCCGTGTGCCAGGGCGGTGGACAGAGGCCTCGTCCAGGTCGGCTCTGGCCGCCGTGGCCTGGCTGCAAAGCGCAGCAGGCGCCGGGGACCCCCGCCCGCTCCCAGGGTCTCCAGAGGGGCCTGCCCCGTCCTGACGGCTATGGGGTGACTGCACAGAGGACCCCAGGAGCCCCAGAAAACAGTGGGTTTAGGGCCCCAGAACGATAGGCTGTGAACGCCATGCTGTGGGGAGGAGCCCCGGCGCGGAGCCCCCAGCGCCTTGCCTTCTCCAGCACCTCCGTCGTCGGGGAGAACCCAGAATAACCGAGGTTTATTTTTGAACTCGGCTTCTTGGGTCAAGAGGCAAACGAAAACAAGCTTATGTCAGGGGTTTATTTAAAAAAGCAACTTCCAAGAAGCGTCCTGGGGCCATGGCGTGTTCGGTCCAGTCCCTGCACCTCAGTGACGACCCAGGGCGACTGAGGACACGCTGGGCAAAGAGGCGAGGGGACGCGGCAGCCCCCCAACCTCCTGGGCAGCCAGAGAGAACCTCAGGACTGGTCCGCCTCGCACGGCCGCCCGGACGAGCCCAGCTTTCAACAGACTGGCCAGAAACGAGGCCAGGCTCCACACGAGGCCTCTGCAGATGCCGCGAGCCCGCGCGTCCATCAGCGTGCGCTCTGTGCTGGGCCTGGGCCAGCCCCGCCCCGCCCCCACCCCGCACAGCTTCCCCAGGGGCCCTGATAGTCCAGCGACACTGAGCGCTGTTCTTTGTGACTCTCTGCAGTCACCACGGGCACGTCTGAGGGCCTCTCACTGGCCTGTGGCCCTTGGGGAACCAGTCAGACCCCCACTCCCCCACCACGTGGACGGGGCAGGGGCCCCCCTGCGGGAGGCCCCAGGGCAGCCGGAGCCCCCTCCCCGCCTCTTTCCCTCCTGCGGCCTTTGAGCCACAAAAGGAGGTTTCTTTACCCTGTGTCTCCCAACACCTGTCCACAGTAAGAGTGGATTTCAAATGGGGGTCACTGACTGTGTACACTGGGTGGCCTTTCCAAAGCCGGCGGTAGGGGGCGGGCAGGGAGAGCGGGGCTGCGTCTGCTCCTGTCCTGCTGTCTGTCTTGGCAGTCAGAGGGGATGTGGACACCCCTGGGGAGGCTCTGCCGCTGGGACAGCCCTCCTGCCCTCGTGGTTAAAGGGGGGACGCAGCTGGTGGCAAAGGGGTTCCTCAAAGGAGAGGGGGAGCCCCGTGGGGCCACGGGTGTGGGAAGGAGCTCCTTCGAGGTCAGCACTCCTGACACAGGCAGGAAGCAGGGAGATGCGACCACCTGGGCCAGCAGCAACCCGGGCAGAGAGGGGCCCCACCAGCCGGAAGAGGTGCAGAGCCGTCGTCCATCCCTGCCCTGTGGGAAGGACCAGGGCCATTCCCTTGAACGTCCGTTTGGGGAGTCCCCTTCAGTGGAGGGCGGGGACAGTGCGTCCCCGTGAGCTTGAGCCACAACTTGGTCAAACAACTTGATCAGCCTTGTCCTTACATTTAAAAGTAGAGTGGCCAAGTGGAAATATAGCTACATGTAGACATCTTCACTGGGGCTTCCCCTCAGTTGGTAAAGAATCTGCCTGCAGTGCAGGAGACCCCGGTTCGATCCCTGGGTTGGGAAGATCCCCTGTAGAAGGGAAAGGCTACCCACTCCAGTATTCTGGCCTGGAGAATTCCATGAACTATATAGTCCATGGGGTCGCGGAGTTGGACAAGACCGAGCCACTTTCACTTTCTTTCAGACATCTTCACACGGGGATTACAGATGGCTTTGATGTGCAGAGTACGTTCTGTGTCATTCACTTTTTAATGCTTACACATCACACTTTCATTCTCCAAATTAACACTATACAATCTGAATCTCCAGGGGAGAGGATGCAATTCCAGAAGTCTAACTGAAAGAATCTGTCACTTGAACGTGATAAGAAGTTCCCTCCCATTGGGAATGATGCTCAGCGCCCGTGGGGATCTACTGATTAGAAAGTTGCCAGCGCTTTCTAGAAATGGGACGTCCTACACTCCTCAGAAGGGTTTCCTCTCGGGAGACCTGGACCGTCGTTGATGAGGACAGACCGCAAGAGTCTTTATTTATTCATCCACGACACGTCCACCCAACACACCCACTAGATACCTTCTGTTGCGTTGCTCTGCCCAAAGTCAAAAGACACCTCATCCACCACCTGGGTCACCTCACAGATGCTTGTTCCCCATGTCCACGCCTCCCAGGCTCAAGGCTGATGCTTCTGATGTGATATAATGAAAAGCTGTTTTTTTTGGGGGGTCATTATTTCTATTTGTACTAACATGACCTAGATGTTTTCTCTGCTGACTGTGGTTCTGACCTGGCTGTGTGCACACTGTAGGGTGTGGGGTCCCCGCCCGGGAGGGGCATTGAACGGGTGGTGGGCACGCTGGGGATGGGACGGGGGAGCAGAGCCTGAGGCCCAGACCCCGCAACCCTCTCCCGCTGGGGCCCCCACCGAGCTGGGGCGGGGCTCCACCCAGGAGGCCAGCAGGCGAGACTCTGCATTCGGACCGAGGACCCGGGGCCTCGCTCACCACGGCAGAGACGAGACACACCAGGAGAAGGTCGTTTAAGGCGAATTTTAATCGTTTTATAAAAGTCATATATACAAAACACGTTCAACTACCCACCGTGGCTGTACAGTACACTTTTTACACTGCGCCGCGTGTCTCTCAAGCCGGGACACAGCGTGAGCAGAGGCCTGTCCCCACTGCTGGGGCCGGGGCAGCGTGGAACTCAGTGCCAGCCCGGGGAGGGGCCCCAACCCTGTGAAATTTCCTTTCCGAGTGTGAAGACCCTGGAAGAGCTCGGGGCTCCGTCCCTGGGGACGCTGAGCCGGGCGCTGTCCTGGCCCGGCTCCTGTGGGGTCCACTGCGGAGACTGAGCCGAGGATGGGGCGGGGGGCGTGGCGGTGGGTGGGGGATGGGCGCACGACAGGAACCTCCTGGCTGCTCTTGTGTCAACAGAGACCACCACACCGGCCCATTTTCAGCTGGCTTGAACGGACCAAAGAAAAAGACATTTGGAATGTTTTGTGATTTGTGTTAACAGGTCGAAAGGTAATGCCTTAAGATTTCAGAGACTCAACAGAGATCTATTTTAAATTTCTCGATACCGAGGCTGCTGGAAGAGTCTGATAGTTAAGGAGACGGGCAGTGGCCCGGCATCACAGGCTGCCCTCATGCCCTCGGCTCTGGCCACCTGCTTGCAGGTGAACCTGGAAAAGGTGCCCAGGCTCAGCAGGCGGCTGGGGCGGGCAGGGAAGCGTGGAGGATGGGCTTGGTCAACCTGGCTGTCGGGTCAAGCCTGTGATCTGAATTCTCTCCACCTGGGTGACAGCCCCTCTGCCCACTGTGGGTGCCAACCTCTTCCAGGGCACCTTGACAGCCGGGGGTGGGGAGACCTCCTGGATCACCCCAAGGCAGCGGGAGGCTTCCCTGGGGGCCAGGCACTGAACAGAGTGGGTGGGGCCCCCAGGCCAGAGTGTTCACCCGCGTGGTTCACCCCTGAAGCCGCCTCGAAGCGCTCAGGCTGCCGTGGGGATCCTGCCTGACCCCGGTCAGGGCTGAGGCTGCACACTGCAGAACGGGCACCGTGATCCCAGTCTCTGCCCGAGCAGAGGGACTCTGGAGCCAGCTGGAGGGATGAGCGCCTGCACGGCCCCGGGAGCACCAGGGCAGGGAGGTGAGGGCCCGTCTACCCTGACCCTGGGGCTGCGCTCTCAGCCGCCCCAACGTGGACTCCCGCCGGCTCCTGGGGGCACACGGAGCCCACAGCCCGTGGTCCTGAGGAAGCCTGCCAGACTGAGTAGCCGGGCTGTGCTCACTGCAGGGACTGCCTTTTGAAAGCACGAGAGAAGGGGCATCCGTGGCTGATAAAAGGGCGCCCAAGCGACAAGCCTGGGCCCAACGGGTAGACCAGGACGGTGGGACCCCGAGCGGCTCAGAGGAGATGCAGACTGGCTCAGCAGCCCAGAAGCTGCCCCAGCGTCACTCGGGTGTTACCCTCCCCAGCCCCCCACAAGAAAACCCGCACCACCCTAACCCGCTCAGAGGCAGGGCTGCCAGTTCCAGGTGGAGCCAGGTGTGCGCTTCCATGAGGCAAGCCACGAGCCACGTTTACGGCCCAGACGCAGAGCCTTTGGGTTCCTGTAGGAAGAGCCCCATGCCCCAGTCAGCCGGGGAGGGCCCTGCCGCCCCGGGAGGGCTGTTTCGGGGCAGGGATCTTGTGGTCTGGGTCGCCGCACTTTCCCGCCCCTGCTACACTCAGACACGGACTCCTTCGAAGGTCCTTCCTGCTGGGATACCCGAGGACTCCCGAGTTCTGGTGACACCCTGCTCCTCCTGCTATCTCGGGGCCGGGAGCCTTCACACGGGGAGCCCACACGTGGAGCAGGGCCATGGTGGGTCCAGGCTCAGGACCACCGTCAGGGTCGGCAGGGCGAGGCGGGCACCGCGGGTGCTTCAGGCAGTATGCAACCTGTTGTCCCTCGAAGCAGGTTTTCACCCGGGAGACACCAGCACAGCGCGGACACCGGGGCCACGCGGAGCCCCCGCGAACACCCAGCCCACGCAGGCCCAGCACCCACCTCGCAGCAGGGCCCTGTCTTCCTTCGCATGGAGCTCCCTGAACTTCCAGGCATCACTCAGCAGCTGGTGCCGAGAAGACGGGGTGAGCGGCCAGCCCCGCCCGGCTCCCGACCCACATGGAGCGCCCGCGGCGCCGTCCTCCCGCGGCGGCTGGCGGACACAGCGAGCGTGGGCCTGGGGGGCCTCCACGGCTCTGCTCCCTGCGTGACCCCAGCCGCAGAGACCACCCAGGAATCCAGGGCTGCGGGCCCAGGGCGCCTGCGTCACCCTGCAGTCCAACCTCTACACACGGGGAAACCAGGACCCAAAGTGCCAGGCCCCCCGGCACGTGGTGAGGCGCGCACGCTTCTCTGCAGGGGCGGGCAGGGGGCTGCCTTGCCCACCGCGGGCCGCTGAGGCCCCACACACGGATGCACACAGCGCCTCGCCGGGCGACGGCCACGGACACTGCGCATGGTCTTTTTCTGGAAAAGAATCCGGGTGCCATGAGTTGTGCTCACTCTGGGTCGCTGGATTCCCGTTTCCTGGCGGCACGCTGACCCCACAGGGTCCAGAGAAGGAGCTGCACCTTCCCTGGGCTCCTCCGGCCTTCTGTCTCCGGGCACGTCCACGCCCATCCCAGGTCTCTGCCGGCAGGTGGGCTCAGGGCCTCCCTTGCACACACTCATCTGTGTGTGTTCCTGCTGCCCTCCCTGTCCTGAAGTCGTGCTCCAGAGACGTCCACACAGAACCACACTGCTGGCAGCTCTCCTGGTCGCCTCGTGTCCCAAGCGTGGAAACAAGAACTGTGATCAACAGGTAACGAACCTTCAAGGGCCGTCTGGGCTCATTATCCACGGGCTCTGAACTTGGGGGCTGAAAAATTTCATGTTGGCTTTGAATGCCGAGTGATGTTTTCCATTAACAAAAACTAAGGATTTATTTTAATAAATATCCAGAGATTGACGGTGGTCAGATCATCAAACCAGCCCCTCCTGCCGATGCTAAAATGCCGTGCATGGCGCAAGCCGTGAGCAGTTCATTCCGACCACTCTTGTCCCGACATTGCTTTTGCCCATGGTGTCAAGTCAGCAAGTGTCTGTTCCCAGGATGCCCGAGTTAGTCGGTCAGAACTATGGATCTTGTTTCAAGATGATTTCCTGATCTTAAGAATTGAAATAACCTGACTCATTTTTATCAAAGAAGTAAAAAAATTACAAGAATAAGGAGTCTAGAGATCTCTATAAATTACAAAGCTATAATGCAATATCTTTGAGACAATTTCTCTACAAACTGAAGTTAAAAAAAATAGTAAAAAAATGCACATGTGTCCTTACGTGTGAACAGTGTGACTACGAGGAGAAAGTCTTAGTTCGAGGAAGTTTATTGTTACATTTTTGCAATAATAGATGAGGCAGACTATCCCCTGCTGCTCCAACATCTCAAAATAAAAGACAGCAAATCACGGGTAACAGTGAGATTAAAACAATACAAAGGCCTAAGGTTTGGGAGAGAAGTGACTATAACCTATGTGTGGAAAGACTGCAGATGGTTTTAGCTGAGCCTGCGGAGCCGTCTGTGTCTCTGACGAGCACGGATCCTGGAACGGAGGGCCGAGTGCCATCACGCCTGCTCGGCTCAGCACAAGGACGGCTCCTGGCTGCAGGGGAGGGAGTGGGTTGGGTCTGGGCCGAGCCCTGGCTGCCAGGCCACTCAGCACAGTCACGGCCCCTCAAAACGAGCTCGCTCTCGGGTCTGAGAGTGAGCCGGCAGCCACGACAGATGGTCTGAAGGACAAACCGCGCTCGCTGACCGGGTGGACTCCAGCTCGCCAGCAAGCCACTCACAGACCCTCCACCAGCCACACTGACCTCAGGGGCTGCCACCTCTGCCAGCGTGAGGAGGGGTTTCCAGGTTGGCGGGAAGAGCGTGGATCCGGATACACGTGTGTGATGGGAGCCCGCGGGCAAGGGGCGTGAGGCCCGAGGACAGCAGGGTCTCAGGATGCCCGGATGCAGTCCATCCAGAGGGTTCTGTCTCCTTTAAACCTTGGTCACTGGCCCCGATCCCGGGCACATCCTCTCGGTTTACGAAGAGCCACAGGAAGCAGTACAAAAACAGCAACTTTTCTCCAGCCAAAGAGCCCAAACCCCGGCAAACATGGACAGGAAGTCTTGAGGGCCCAGATAGAAACAGGACTTCATGCTGTCTCCTCATTAGACACTGGGATAACACGGATGACTCAGAAGCAGGTTTGCCCTCCCTTTCCTCCTGGGCCAGCATCTGCCGCGAGCTAGATCAGTGTTTGCTGGTGAAGGTGAGCAGGACCCCTGCGGAGACATGGCTGGGAACACGGGGCCTGGGGACGGGCCCTGAACCACAGGCGCAGGCTGGGCCACTAGCAGAGGAAGGCTTTTCCTCTTTCAAATGCTGGACGAGTCCTCAACGCGCCGGACACTGGCAAGCAGAGCCACACACGGTGGGGACTGGCTTGGAATGCGATGTGTTTTTAAACCCGGTGAGAGACACCTGGACAGGGCAGCCGGACACGCTCACTGACGGTCTGGTTTGCCGGCGCCCATCACCACTCACAGCCTCCACAGCGGCCTCCTCTGGGGGCTTTCTGCTACGTGTGTGTGTTAGTGGAAGCGAGGGGCCGTGAGGAGCGCCTGGCGTCTAGGGAGGCAGGAGAGCCTGGGGTGTTAAGGCAGGTGCCGCGGGCCCCGCCGTCCACTCTCAGCGGGCCCTGAGAGGAGGGGGCGCTCGGCCTCCTCCAGAGACAGCAGGCTCCCCGAGCCGACGGCAGGCTCCCCGAGCCGACCGCACGTGTGGGAGACGACTGGGAGAGGAGGGCAGTCTGCGAGGCCAGCTGGTGTGGGGGCTCTGCTGCAGGGCGGGGTGGGCACAGGGCAAGCAAGCACCACCCGCCTCCCCGTGCAGACGGGAGGGGGAATCAAGGCAGCGCCCGGCCCACACCTCCCACCGCGGGCCGTGGCCGATCGGACGGGTGGGAGGAAGGCACGGGTGTGGGGGTGTTAAGGCAGGTCCCCCTGTGGGCGCTCACTCCCACCCTCCAACCTGACAGCCGGGGCCTCTTGGGAAGTTGGCACCAGAGACTGAAAAGGCCAGGCGCTCCCTCGGGGAGGTAGTGGCAGGGTCCCCCCGAACTCAGCCCACACTTCCCCTCCTCCAAACCCCCAGGACGCCGCCAAGCAGCGCCCCCACCGAGGACTCACGAGCTGGAGAGAAGAGCCACCCGCAGAGACGTGTTTGTGTCTCGGTCACTAAAGACAGAGCGTGCGTGCACACACACGCGGTCCCCGACTAAACTGTGTCAGAAGAGACAGTTTCTGAAAAAGAGAGAGCTGTGTTATCAGGCGTCACACGTTAACATCAAAGTGACTGCTGGACTTTCAGTAGTTTCACGAGTCCCCGGGATTCAGTAGCTACGTCCACGTGTCCCGTCCTGCGGCCGAGCGCAGGCCTGGCGGGCCTCGCACCCGGAGCTGGGCATCCAGGGCTTGGGGTCGGGACCACACATGGACAGGCAGGCCCGGCCCGCGGCCGGCAGGAGCGAGGGCAGCCCCGTCACTGCAGCATGATGTCCTTCAGGTTCTCCTGCAGGATGGTGTCCTTCACGGCGTGGAACACGAAGCGGATGTTCTCAGTGTCAATGGCGGTGGTGAAGTGGTGGAAGAGAGGCTTGCTGCGGTTCCGTCTCTTCCGGTCGAAACACTGGACCAGGAAGCGCTGGACGTCCTCCAGCCTGTGCGGGTCGCCCTTGAAGTCTGGGAAGTGCTTCTTGATGCTGACGGTCTTCACCTTCTCCACCAGCAGGTCCGTCTTGTTGAGGAACAGGATGATGGAGACGTTGAAGAAGAGCTTGTTGTTGACGATGGTCTCGAAGATGTTCATGGACTCCACCAGGCGGTTGGTGCGCCTGTCCTCCATGAGGACCTGGTCGTACTCGCTGGACGAGACCATGAACAGGATGGATGTGATCCCGTCGAAGCACTGGAACCACTTCTGGCGCTGGGACCGCTGGCCGCCCACATCCACCATCTTGAAGGGGATCTTCTTGATGACGAAGTCGTGCTCCACGATGCCCTTGGTGGCCTTCCTTGCCAGCAGGATGTCCTGCTTGCTCGGGAAGTAGTTCTGTAAGATAAGGTCAGGAGGCGTTGGGGAGGAGGGCGTGAGAAGATGGCAATGAACAGACGCGGTGGAAGGAAAGTTATGGGGACTTCTGTGAGAAGCTGAACCAGATATCAGAAGCGACTTTCATTTACAAGAATGTAAATTCACCATGAAACAGAGAGTGAAGGAACCCAGCGGCTCATTTCAGAATGAATGGGGGGGCTCACCAGGCTAAGGAAGAGTGAGCAGGACCCTCAGGTCAGGCCCCAACCTGAGATCTCGTCTCCTTTCTTCTCCATGCGAAAGACCACCACTTTTCCTCCTGCATCTTAGCTACCGTTCTATTTTTCTAACTTCCAGGGCACATGCATTCCAAACCCTGACTCTGAACTGACTTAACTTAGGTTTTGCAACGTTGCTTAAATGTAGCCTGCAATATATTCAGTATGTTATTCTTGGAGAAGCCTTTTAAGTCTGCAGCAGCACACGGGCGACGGTGGTCACTCGAAGCCCTCTGATCCTGCCCTGGTACAATCCTCCAGTGGCTCCTGCACACCAGCGCCCAGGCAGCACCTCTGCCAGAAACCCCAGCACGGAGGACGCCTCTCGGCCCAATGACCCATCCACAAGGTAAACGGGGGAGAGGGGAGCGTCTCCAACAGTGCTAGAGATGGGAGAAGCCCCACAGGGGAGATGCTCCAACCACCCCGACAGACAGGCTGGAAGCAACAGACAGACGGAAGGAGAAAGCTCCGGGTTAAAGGAAGGCCAAGTGCCGTGGACCGACTGCGCCGGATGGACTCGAGACTGCCAAAGTACAGCAGCATCCACAAGAGAACCTTCGTGGGACAACGGGGAAGGTCTCGAAGCCGCCTGGAGCTGGCTGATGTTAAGGAATGAGCGCGGTAACGGTGCTGTGGTCTCTGGACACCAGGCAGGGCTTGGGAGGGCGGCGGGAGCCCTTGCCCCGGGGGCTGCTCTGGGCCGCATGCACGGGTCACAGGCTCTGGGTGTGGGGGTCTCACTCACCAGCTGGCCAATCCGGTCCAAGTTATCCAGAAAGTACTTCACCGATTCGCCCTGTCGTAGAGGAAAGAAAAGTCACGGCTCAGTCTGAACTGAGGACCCTGAGGTGGTGAATGGGAGAACTCAATCAGGTGACGTGTGTGCTGCTCTGCCTGCGTGTAGACAGGAAGGCCGAGTGAAAAGACTAACAGTGTGGATGTGTTTTCCAAAATAAAAAACAAATTAAAAGCATTTAAAAAACGCCGTTTCTCTAGCTCTGATGCCCTGGTTCAAATTCAGACTGTGTTTTTCTTTTTTCTTTTTCCCAGACTGTGTTTTTCAAAGCTACGGCGAGAACGCGGACTCTCTGACCAGGCGGGTCCCTCCCTTTGCAGACGGGAGCCAGCCATGAGACTCGGCTCCTGTGGGTGGTTTTGCTCCCAGCAGGGCCGGCCGGGTGCGCTGCAGGTTCATCTGTTACTTGAGAAGCTGCACACGACAGAACACGTTTCAGCTTCTAGAAACAAACTGAAGTTCTGTTATGACGTCACGTCAGCACCTCCTGACTTAAGGGGCAGGACCAGGAGACTCTGGGCTGGATTTCCGTGGATGGATGGCCAGTCTTTCTCCAGCCCCTGGGCATTTCTCTGGACTGCACGTCGACACAAAGTGACCAATTGCTAGCTAGAAGTGCCCGTGCGAATCGGTCACTGTCCTGTTCTCGGAGGAGTGAGCCAGCTGACACTGCGGCTCTCGGGGCGTAAGGAAGGTTCAGAGGACCTCCAGTGTCGATTAAACGAAGCAAACAGAGAAAGGGTGAGTGAACGGGCGAAAACTCCCCTTATAAAGTGGGGCGCTGACAATTACACCCGCGTGCCCAGAGGACAACTTCCTGCAGGATTCACTCTGCGCCCCACTGTGCAGACAGGGCCCAGCGAGGATGGCGGGGGCGGGGCCCTCCTGGGGAAGCCACGCCAGCGCGCGCGCATGACAGCGGACGCGCGCGCGCGCACACACGTGCACGGTGGGGACATCCTGGACTCGGAAGGAGGCAGCTCTTCGGAAAGGTTCAAGAACGAGAGCGTGAGCTGGTATGGCGTCATGCGGAAGCCCCCGGGCCCTCCCCCACCGCGGTCTCCGACGGTAAAAGGAAGGAACGGGGGTGGACTTCCTCTAGTGAAGAACCCACCTCTGGTTTCGAGGAGGCCTGTGGCCGCGCGGAGGAGAGCATGTGTTTAAGGGACGGACGCTTCTCCCAGGACAGCACAGACCGGGGCTCGAGGCAGCTCCGCCCCTGGCGTCATGGCTGCCGGGGCACAGGCAGGCTCTGCCCGGGAGCCGGGGTGGGCACCCACGTGCCAGCCCGGCCCCACCTTCCCCGCACACGGCTCCTCCTCGGGGGCAGGCCGTGCACCCGGCACCCCTTCGCCGAGCGAGCTCCTGCTCCGTCTGCACATCCCGCCTCCTCCCGGGCAGGCAGGAAGCAACCGGAGCGAGAGCGGTCCGGCCAGCGCGCCTGGTCCAGGGCGCCTTCCGCTCCGAAACCCCCGTCTCTCTCCTCCTGCCATTGCTCACTCGGGGCCTTCAGGGCGCGACGAGAGTCCCCCGACCCGCATCCGTCCAGGCGGGGCGCGGGGTGGCTCACGGTGCAGCCGCTCCTGCCTGAGTCAGGCCGGGGTCGGGGTGTCTCAGCCTGCCTGGCCACAAAGCGTCCTGGCAACACTGATGCCCCACAGGGGACGCTGTGATGTGGGTGCAAGGGCGGAGCCCCAACACAGGGGTGCCACGTGGAAACGCCCTGCGCTCATGAGTAAGCATGTGCTAAGGAAGAAAGGGAATCACTCCCCGAGTCTGACTTTGAACATTTCCAACCACTGAGCTTGAAATCAGGGTCATCTCAACGGACCTTACAACACACTGAACGCTAATATAAAAGGACCTTTATGGCTTCTTCTTCCACCAGGATGGTCGGCTGAATCCTCTTGGCAGCTTGTCTCACTGCCTCAAAGCGGGCGACTGTTCACGCCTGTGGTATCTTATTACCACAGCATGAACGCACTAGGATGAGCACCTTTATGGGAACACGGTGTTAGGTGAGGCGGGAGGACGCCAGGCCTTCTCTGGATGGCTGCTGGGGTAAAGTGAGCTAACAAAAAGGAATAAATGGCAAGTGGGCTTTTCCCAACCCCTCTGTCTGCCTGTGATCTGATCCAGCCTCCCACGCTTGGCTGAGTTCTGGTCTTTTCCTTCAGTATCACAGGAGAGGTGTGTGCACGGAAGAGGGCCCCCCGGGGTCAAGAACTGCTGGCAGAGGCTGTGCAGGGTGCAGAGCGAGGGCGGGGAGGGTGGGCTAGGGGGGTACAGGCATGAAGGTGGAGGCCGTGGGAAGCAAGCCACACGTGGTCACCAGGGAAACAGCCACCAACGTCCACTTCAGGCTAGGCGGCTCTCCAGTTCCCGGTCCTCTGTCCACACACGAGCCGTTCCTATGCTCCTGTACTTGGCGGAATGAATTCTTAAATTCTAACACAGGGCTTGTCACTGGTGAGTGTGAGGATTCGAAAATTTAGTTCATTCATTTAGACACAAATGGCAAAGACAAAATTTTAAAACAGCTGAATATTAAAAACAACCCCATGTGACTGCAGCCTGCCAGGCTCCTCTGTCCATGGGATTCTCCAGGCCAGGATACTGGAGTGGAGGGCCACTCCAGGGGATCCAGGCGATCTTCCTGACCCAGGGATCGGACCTGCGTCTCTTATGTCTCCTGCGTTGGCAGGCAGCTTCTTTAACCACTGAGCCACCTGGGAATGACCCATAAAAACAACTACTCTAAAGGTCAGATTTTCATTTCTGTTACTTAACAGACACTGAATTTAAGACTTAACTCCCATTTAATGGAACATGGCTGCCTATCGCCTTTCTACATTTTGGGGAATTCACATCAGGACGGCAGCCTGTGCAGCGCAGCAGCCAGAGCCCAAATCCCAATCTCAGCGGGGCCATGAGACGCGCGTGTGAAGAAGGTGCAAGCAGAGCAGGATGGACACCTAGACGCCCGTTGCGACGTCCGGCCCACCTGCTGTGTGCCCTGTTCTCCTCCTCCCAGTTCACGCTGACCCCTGAGCAGTGTGGGTCTGAACAGCTCGGGTCCACTGACACGCGCTTTTTTTTTTTAAACAAACACCTACTGCATGTTCTGAGTTCGGCCGACTGTCAAGTTACACTTGGATCTTTGACTGCGTGGGGTCAGTGCCTCAACCCCCAAGCTGTTCAAGGGTTAACTGCATATACTTCTTTTTTAAAACCACTTGAGAGGAGGCTGTCCATTTACCCCAAAGCTTCAGCAGCAGGGCACTTGCGTTCATGCCCATGGCAACCCCGGGGGGAGTGATGTGGACGCGGTGCTCTCACCCAGCAGCACATCCTCCTCCAGCACCGGCTTCAGTCTGGAATCGAGGGCTGCATGTAGCTGTCCACTCTCCCGCCTCCTTTAATCTGAAATACTGATCTTTCTGAAGAATGCAGTGGCTCCCCTCAGGAGGCAGCTTTTGTGACATTTCCAATCTTTACCAAAATGGTTTTCCAATCAGCACAGCAACCACTGGTCTAGCGGACGTTCTACTGTAAACGAGAGCCCTCCCTTCTCCCCTGTTTATCTGTTACCCACATGGACTCACAGATGATTTTATTTCTCAACGCTTGCAATCTGCAAAGTCATAAGGACTGTTAATTTGCAGATCACAGAACTGCACACAAAGTCCTCAAGAATCTATAAAAAAATGCTAACACTTGAGTCAAGAAATGAGTTCAGAAAATTCATAAGATACGAGGTCAACATACAAAACCAAGTGTATTTTATATGCGAGCCTTAAATAAGTGGAATTTAAAATGTAAAAAAAATTTCATTTGGTACTAACATATTTAAGAAAATTTTTTGTTTTTTGTTGCAGGATATGTTTTGTATGTTGAAATAACCACAGACGCACAGAAAGCTGCAAAGATGGCAGAGAGAGGTCTAGTGCACCCGTCATCCCATTTCCCAGTGGCTCCACCTTATGTGATTACAACTCAGCACAGTCAGGGACTGACCCGGGCTCACGCGCGTGTGCGTGTGGTTCTTTGCACAACTGTGGATTCCTGCGATGCCCCCAACCACTTCGCCCTGCTCCCCACAATTCAGACAGAGATCGATCCATCAACACAGAGGTGCCCTCCCCTCCTCTGCCAGCCCTCGTCGCTGGCAGACACTCATCTCAGGTCATCTCCATGGTTTACAGTCACTGGCTTGTTTTCCGTATAGTTTTGCCTTTTCTAGAATGTACTTTAAGTGGAATGAGGCAGCAAGTGACCTTTTGAAGTGTGGTTTTGTTTTGTTTTTTAAACTCAGCAAAATGCCTGGAGAGCCACCCAGCTGCTGCGTGCGTCGACAGTCTGTCTTCTTCACTCCTGAGCAGTGGCGTCTGGTATGGGTGAGCCATGGCTTATTTAGCCACTCACGGATCTGGAGACATTTCGGTCGTTTCCACATTTTGGGAATTACAAATGAAGATGCTGTCGACATTCACGCACAGATGTGTGGACACAGTTCTCATTTCTCTGGGATGAATGCCCAGGATTGGGCTCTCTGGGTTTACAGTAAGTATGTATTCACCAAGTATAGTTTTTTTTTTTTTAAAGAAACTCCCAAACTCTTTTCCAGCATGGCTGTATCACTGTACATTCCCATCAGTGATGTACAGGCGTCTAGTTTCTCCACACTCTCACTGGCCTTCGGTATTGATGCTGGTGCTCCTCTCCTCAGAGCTATCTCAACAAGGTTTTATCAGTAATTTGTGTGCCCCTTACGCTGCGATGATCCAGTGGGTCATGATGCTGAGCGTCTCTTCATGTGCTTGTTTGCCATCTGTATTTCCTCTTAGGTGAAACTTCGTTGTATCTTTTGTCCATTTTCTACTTGGATTGTTTTATTCCTATTAATTGTAAGGGTTCCTTAGACACTCCAGATATGAGTCCTCTGTTAGATATGTGGTTGGTGAGTACTTTCTCTCATCTGTAGCTTGTCTTTCCATCCT